TACTGATAATAAATATATATTAATGCCTGCTGTTGGGGGCACTATGCTCTCATAGTGTTGCTGAGGGAAGGAATAGTGCCCGAGCGGTAGCGAGGGCACTATTCCTTCCCAAAGCAACACTATGAGAGCATAGTGCCCCCAACAGCAGGCATTAATTGTTTTAGTGCATGACATGACTATGCAATCTACTTTTCATGCGTATATACCTTCTTTATACTCCCTAATTTGCCGGTGCATTCGATGTAACAAAACGTTCGACACAAACACAACCGCCGTTCGAAATTACTCTTGCGTGGCGCCCAGACGCAGGAGATTCGTGACGTAAACACAATGCGTTTATAATAACAATGCGTCGCGCAAGCGATAGTGCCCGCTCAGGCGGGCACTATCGCTTCATAGTGCCTGCTGCGTTATCCAATGAGATTGCAGCGATTTATCACGTCATGCACTAAATATTAAATATTGCTATGTACTATAAGCAGTTAAGCACATATAATAATAACAATTTAATTGCAAGTACTGCTGACAACTCGTGTATTTTTATCTTTCAATACATACCTCCCAGTTGACGTTCCATGCCTTCATAATGTTGAATCGCCATGTCGTTAGAGCATTGCCTTTGTTGATATTCATGCGTACTATTCTATTGAATGCAATGCCGATGAGCTCCTAGAAAAGACGATACAGCAAATTAATGTCTGGAGACAATATCCGTTTCGGTCCTTAGCATTATCAATCCGTCCATCCATCTATATCCATCCATTCATCCATCCATCTACTTATTCATTATTACAATAGAGAGTGAGAATATAATACAGATATGTAACTATCTATAGATATAGTTCAGATAGTTTAGATAGAGAACAGATATATATATATAATACTATAATTAAGTGTTAATGTTAAAACGATTACGCAAAAGAGAAGATTTTGGGATAGACGTACCTCCTTCTTATGACCACGGAAATTGACAGTGAAATAGGATAGCCCGAATTCAGGAAGTGCTTGCCAGGCACGAATATAGTTCATCTTTGCATCGTAGAGCGACAATTCCGATACATTAGAATGCGCTTCCAATATTCTCTGGTTCATCTGAAACAGACATTCAACATAAACATCACTGGGAAAAAATACTTCACAACACAGTGTACCTGAACTACTCCTAATGTGACCAACATTCATTTGTAATGATTTTAACGACAGAACTACCTTACCTAAACTAAATCCAAAAGTGGATAAACAGAAAATTAAGTTGGGTGTGCACACACGACACACATAAAATATACGTTACAGTAATGTTATATATACAGGGAGGGTGAGGCAAGATACTTAGAAGTCTAGGCAACTCTGACATAATTAAAACATGTAATTATAAGTATTCTCCTCTATTATAAGTACCAAAGCCACTCAGCTCAAATGAAACCTTATCGATCATAATGCTCACACAGCCAGCTATTAACTTGAATCCGATATTAAGGACTCGCACTCACGCTCATATGAGAGCAACTGACAAACCGGCGGGCACGTACCTGTTGCGACTTGAACTTCTTGAGGAAGCGTGGTGCGACGTATAGCTCAGGCTGGATCTCTGCATTGCTGGGGTTGATGACGGTGGCAGGTGCCGGATGTTGCATGCTCATGAATGCCAAGATGGACGACACCTCGGAATCATACGAGCTGTCGGCCATCGTCTTGCCCTTAGACGCAAGCTTGCACGCCGACAACCACCTGGCGTACTGCTGCTCCTGTTTAAATTTAAGGGGTTTCACGTAGGTGAGGCAGGGACATCAGATAAGGAGAGACTTGCATTCATTAATATAGTCCGTGTATTATTAGTTATGATTTATGGAACAGCTTTAACATTGTATGACACTTGCGTTTTCATTAGCGTTTTATGAACCAACACAAAGTATTTTAAATTACATTACGACAACATGCATAAGATATTGACACATGGCACGAAATTATTGTATAAAACAATTAAAAAGGATATTAATAGAAGCTGTTTTTTTCATTTTTAAAAAGCTTTATAATAAATAACATTGATTAATAAAAACAATTTTAGATTTACAACAACCTACAATCTAATCTCTCGTTTGCAACAATTATGAAACCACGGCAATACGTACGTTTTCAAACCTCAACCAGACCTCCTTCATGCCCCCTGGTGCCGGAAGCAAAACTCGAATGCCATATTTCTTATGGGCAATGTTTACGTCTGGCACGACTTCACAGCCTGTAAATGGCATGAAGAATTCATAACCACTCTTAAATATACTAAACAATTATGTAATAATAATACCGTGGAGCTGCAGATTAGAGAGAAGGCATATGAGAAGTAACTCACATATGTTAATAAGTGCAACCCCAGTCAAGTACTCAGTAATTCCAACTCTCATTGTCACGCAGTTATCTGCTAGGACTGGGGCTTTTCTAATACATGAATCACGTCACGTCAGAGTTCTAGTAGCAGTGGCAGCTCACATTTAACAGTGAAGAGATTTAACAGATCATCTCTTACCTTTAAGATTAGCATTCCAAAGAGGTGTGCTGTCTGAGGTTTCTTTGCTCTTGTACATTGACAAGTGTGTGTCTCTAAAGGTGAACCAGTAAGCCTTGAATGACCGCAACGTATATTTCTTTGGCCTGAAAAATACAACAGAGCAACCTATTTTCCCAACAAATACATAAAATTGATCAATTGTTCATGGGCACCAATTTTAACGACATTCCTTTTGTGATTTACCATCAATTCTATTATATGTATTCTATTACCCACGTTATTATTAGTTACTATAATCTAAAATATATGATCCAACATCTCACAATTGAGATAGTTAAGAAACTGAATATACATACTAGATTAACACTAGGAGAACAGAACTATCCTAATTTATCTGAATCATTAATATTAATATAGTTAGTAACGAAAACACACTTCATAAAATGTAGGTAGTCATGGAGCTCAGGTATAGAGGTGATGTCCCCTGGCCTTCGGCCAAATGAATGACCTTCAAGTGACATCTGGAGGTCATTCAATGCTGCATCGATGTCATCTGTTTCCTTTGCACCAGAGGGGCTAAAGTCAGGCTCTGGCACATTTGACTGTAAATGCACTTGTAGCTGCAAAATACAACACACCACAAGGATAGGTTCGAGCTATTACAACACTTGTAGCAGTGGGTTGGTTGCTGTAGCTGCTGGTGAGCAGCAAAAACCAGTAAGGAATGACAAAATCGGCAAAAAAATGCAAGAAAAGTAACTTTAACAACTGATGGTAGGGCACGATTACATGTGGCACCAAGGGTTATCAATCAATCGTTATCAATATCGACATGTTATCAATCGTGACAATCACTACATGAGAAGCAAAGCTAAAAGGTTTTTATACCTGCAACGCTGCAAACATCATCATCTCTTCTTCTGTGCAATCCAACTCCTCACTAAGTAATGCCCAGCGAGCTTGATTGTAGATCTGATTGATTCTGATAGCATCATACTGAAGTCAACAAATAAAGAGGTAAAATACTACGACACACGCCGCTACTAATTCTTAGGATCGTTTTGGTAACTCGTTATAAGGTGCGGAAATCATTTTCCTTTTTGCCACACACAACTTACACTAACTGCGTCTTTGATTCTGGAGGGGGGTCATTGCCAAAGGGCATGATATGAAATAAGATTAATAACCGCCTTCATAAAGTATAGCCCGAAACCTGCTACGCCATACATATCCATGCACACGCGCACATGGATGTGAAAGACATAAAATTAAGATGACAGTGTACATACTTTAGGATTTAAATCGTAGAAAACCAGAAATTTATATCTGAATAACAAGAGGTCGCTTTCTCGGATGCCCTGTTCCATGAGTGACACTGAAGAATCGAGCCACCTGAAAACAATCGGAGACTTATTGGAAAGTAAACATTTTTTAGCATACTATTAAAATACACGAATCATGTTTCTCAATTTATACTTCCATTATTCTAGGATATGTGACAACCCATTTCAACTGTGTGTAAAAAACAATTGATTAAAAAAAGGGCATGTCATTTCAAATAGTCTGCCTATTACGGTAACCGTCCTTATTCACAATCTGCTCTGGGATAAACCACTTTTGCCTATCTATATGCAGTAACGTGCACCACGCATACAGTACTCTCATCTCTTATGAGCATGCAGCCTCCCTCGATGCTAATTTTAGCATTTTCCGTTGAGTGGAAGCGGGAATTTCCGTTGACTGGAAGAAACAGCCAGACTGTCACGCCCGATTTGTCATATCTCGTTGATGTTTTACAAACTACGGCAATCTCTCAGCATGCACATTAAAGTCGGCCGGCGGCACAGCTTCCGCTGCTAATTCAGGTGCTGTCTCAGTATTTACCGAGCAATTACTGGAAAACTGAAACGCTTTTTCTGGTCAACTATACTCGGCCTATGCATTTCTACATTCTTTGGCCGGGCCATAAAAGGCTGAAAACTCGAGCTCTGTGGTACGTAACCGTTTTGCATGGAAAACTGCAATGATGAAATATTAACCCTTTCAGGGTTTTTCCATAGGACTGAACGTATTTCATCGAGTTACAACTTCAATTGAAAGGTTAAAATGTAATTCGTGTGAGGCATTTTTACCTTCAAGCGTACGACAAATTATATAGTGCGGTACATACCATCTACAACTTCAAATGCACTAGAAAGTTTTTAAAATTCAAGAAAAATTTCGAAATTGAATGGCCAATAGTTTAATCACCATAATCAAAATAACTGAATAAACTACGTTTAATATGTCTAGAAACCGAATAAAGAAATGCGCAATATTATATATTCTGACATGGCGTGCAGAATAACACAATCTTTCTAAGTTAAATTTTGGGATCCTTTGCTCCTGGGATTCGATATAGAACATCTGCTGTGTAAAGCGAGGCTCCATTGCTATTCTGATTAGTGACAGGTGACGCAGACAATAGAACGCCGCAGCACAGACAAAGACACTGCCCTCCTAACTAGCACGCACCTGTCACAACACATCATTGTCCCTGCGATCATTTATGCAATTATATGGAATGCTGCCAGCACTTTGCGGTGTTCAGAATTTCATGCAATATATCAATGTCCGAATTTAACAGGTTTTCAACAACCAACCAGTGCAATGATGCGGATCAGCAATCAGGTAGTCCACAAAGGAATTAGCTGACAGGAATTAAATCTTGCCCTAGGTTTTAGACACGCGTAGAAACAGATGGGATTCTAGCTCAACATGATAACGTACAGGCAAGTTGATGCCAAAGGGAAATTTCAGCCCGAGTGAACCGTAGTGTGGATACACTTGCTGCATAATCATTATTAACTTCCTCTCATATGGTGCTGCACTATTACAGATTAAATCCTACGCCACGCCAATAAAAGATTAAATTGAAATGCTACTCCTTGGGCATGTGTTCATATCCTATTGTTGCATGTTATAATGAGCAAAGTTATCGAATTTAATATTTCTGATTTATCCGCTTCAATACTGCCCAGATAATTAGTAACGCTAATATTGATGACACTGACACTGATGATGATGATAATGATGATGATGATGATGATGATGATGATGATGATAATGATGATGATGATGATGATGATGATGACGACACTGTCTGTATTATTCATTAGCTCATCCATATGGGCTAGTGTGGCTTGTGTAGCATTCTACATGAAACGCGGTATCATGACACCTACCTGAACAATCTAGTTTATCGTTCATCTTCATAGTTTCACAAAGCCTAACAGATTTTTACTTTCTGCTTTTAAGAGCCGCTGCCATTTCAATGGCATTTCGTATGATGTAGCGTGTAACGTTCCAGCCTATCAATTCTGCATGAACAGTCCACCAATAAAACTATATACCCCTTCCCCTCTCGTCTTCCCTATTCGCAACGCACCTATCTCACCCGGTGTAGGTGTTCTCTAGCACAGCATGCACATTTTTATCTGTATTTTAATTTGCCATTTATGCAGTTCATCGTTCACGGTCAAGTGACAATTTCTTCCTCACTTATAGGAACTGGTTTTATGGGTGGTAAAGCGGTGTTAGTAGAATGGGTTCTAAACATGTCTTTATGATGCTGTGTGGTAGATAACCATGACAGTACTTTCCGCAAAATTTAACGACGAGTAATAAACGAGCTTCTCATACCCAAACGTATCTACTTACACGACGCCATGTTGTTTTATACGACTTCGAAAAATCATTATTTTGATTCAAACATGAATTCCTCACCAAAACGTGTCTAACATGCATGACTTGGCCACCACCTTTTACTTACAGATACATGGCCCAGCAATAGGTGTACCTATCCCACATGCAACAGTAACTTAACTTTTATACTTTTTATACCTAAAATCAATCGGTATAAAAAAGCATGCAACTATGCAAACCGATCGTCAAGCAACTTCTGTAGCAGGTAAGGTGTCCTTACTGAAGAACCATGCTCGTTATAATGACTCAATAAATTCGTATACGTTATAAATTCACTGTATCATTCATAAAGTCAGTGTTGCATAACCACATCACCAAGTCGTGAGTATACCCCTATTACAAACCGAGGTATTTACTCTAACCACACCATATTTATTAAATAATATACCAAGGTAGTTAACCTAACCCTGCTGAATTTACTGAAGCGGCAGCTCCATATAACAGGTGGTAAATATACGTTGCTAATTTCAATGCGAAGAAGGTGTTTTCCAGGTCTAAACATGCTTCTGGAAATTAAAAACGCTGGCTTTTATTCGATCAAGGCTCCATAAAAGTTAAAGAAGGGGATATATAATTAATAACTCGTTCCGCGATATATTTTATCAAGGATGTAAAATCACTGGTAACTATTTTCGTTACCGGTGATAATTATAATCACATTTATATGCTTCCATGTGCCATGCAAAAAATGCGAAAACTTTTGGTAGCATTTTCTTCGTGATATATGAGAAATCGGGGCATTTTAATTAGGGAATTTCACGGACAAAGTACCATTTTGAAACGTTACAACATGCGAAATAGCTGCTTTATACAAGTGCTACCACTCGACTGCATTTACTCTATTATACACCAAGGTATTTATTCACCCCTCACTACACCGTATTCACACTAGCATATACCCAGGTATTTACCCTCCATTTTGTCGAGCTTTCTCTACGTAGTTGCGGGGGCAGACGCGCGCATCGAGGGCCTCCTGGGTCGGTGGAAGGCTGATGGCGAGAGACACGTCGATGCCTCCCACCAGGCTCGAGTCTCCGCTCGTCGCAGAGGTTGGCGTCAGCGTGCCATTCGCGTTGAAGCTGGTGGCGCGTGCCGAGTTGGGCGTCTTCCACAGCGTCGCCTGTTGTGCCGGAAAATTCAGAACGCGGTTGCTAAGGAGCGCAGCTAGTGAGTACGACAACGATCAGAGGATGGCGGCACGCATTCGCCCATTGTCATCGTCGTTCTCTCCATCCCGCTACCACGTACGTGCCATTACGCTAGAAACGTTGGCGGGCAGGCAGTTTGATGGATTCGAGAAGCCATGTCATTATTCATGGCAGGTGGGAAACGCACACGCAAAAAGTGTCTCTCTATTCAGTTCTTCATTGATCTGCTTCGGCTAATATACTTGATGAAATAAGCCGACATGTGCTAAACTTACTAGCATACTACTCGCATTCTATTTATTGGCACGTTCTTATGCCAAATACATCATTTATGCGTGCAACTGCCCCAACGCTGGACCATAGCCTCCTATAAACGGTGGATATATGTTTCTATGCCACCGACTGATCGCGTGATGTCAGTGTACGTCAGTGTGACGTCAGTGGCTAGACCAATCACGCACGCACATCCATGTATGCATATAGGGCACATACATAATACATCATGGTGTTACATCATGGTCATACATCGTTAGTGTTAGTGTTAGTATTAGTGTTAATTAAATTTAATTAGGGTTAGGGTTAGGGTTAGGGTTAGGCGTCTATGTCCCTCTGACCTCTGTTTGACCTGGCTGCGTTTAGCTATTTTTGACTAATATATATATATATATAATATAATATATATAGGCGTTGGGTTAGGGTTAGTCAGAAATAGCTAAACGAGCCAGGTCAAACAGAGGTCAGGGGGACATAGATCCTACGAGCGCAACTATAGTTGCTGTGATGAGACGGCGGCAGAGGTGACCGCCTGAGAAGTCATCTTTTCCCATAGCACATCACAAATAACATGTAGTCATGATTGCTGCATAATATTCTAACTGCTTGCCACACGCATCCACGCCCATCATAATGGCTTGTGAGAATTTCTACGTGATATTAGCTGTAGCTTTGATGACCGTGTAATTATACTAGTTATGAGTCTCGTTTTGCCTTAAGCCTCTGAACCTAACATGTCATTTCCGAGACTTATGGGATGTGTGTTCTTAACTGTCTGTCGTTTCCCACAGTTATGGATTGCGTATAGCTTATTGCATGTTTGTGTACTGCTCATAATTAGCTGTATGCATATGACTTTGTCATTATATTGCCTGCTTCTATCACCATCTGTGAGAGTTGGCCATATAACGGCAGCTGGGTCGAGTCTGGCGTGTGTTTATAGGAGGCTATGGTCCAGCGTTGGGGCAGTTGCACGCATAAATGATGTATTTGGCATAGAACGTGCCAATAATAGAATGCGAGTAGTAGCTAGTAAGTTAGCACATGGTCGGCTTTTTCATCAGTATATTAGCACGAAGGTCAATAGAAGAAACTGAATAAGGAGACACTTTTTGGCGTGTGCATTTCCCACCTGCCCATGAAAATGACATTGCTTCTCGAATCCATCAACTGCCTGCCGCCACGTTTACTACGCGTAATGCACGTCACTGTAGCGGGATGGAGAGAAACGACGATGACAGTGGTCTGAACGCGTTGCGCATCTCTATCGTATTCGTACTCACTAGCTGCGCCTCCTTACCAACCGCGTTCTGATTTTTCTGCACAACAGGCGGACGCTGTGGAAGACGCCCAAACTCGGCACGCGCCACCAGCTTCAAACGCGAATGCCGCTTGAGCCCAACCTCTGGGACGAGCGGAGACTTCGAGCCTGGTGGGACGCATCGACGGTGTCTCTCGCCATCAGCCTCCACGACTCAGAGGCCGGTCGATGCGCGCGTCTGCCCCCGCAAGCTACGTAGAGAAAGCTCAGACAACAATGGAGGTAATACATGGGTATTATGCTAGTATTGAATACGGTTAGTGAGGGGTGACATAAATACGTTGGGTGCTATAATAGAGTAAATGCAAGTCGAGTGGTACATTCTTGTATAAGCCACGGCTATTTTTGCATGTTGTTAACGCTTTCAAAATGTACTTTGTCCTTGTAGATTCCCTAATAAATGCCTGATTTCTAATGTATTATGAAGAAAATGCTAGCTAAAATTTCGCATCTTTGGCATGACACATGGAAGCATATAAAGCTGATTTATAAATGTATACCTGTAACTGAAAATAGATTACCAGTGATTTTAACATCCTTGATAAAAAATATTGCGAAACGAGTCTATTATTATTACCCTTCTTTAACTTTTATTGGAGCCTGCTTGCATGCAGAATAAAGCCAGCGTTTTTAATTTCCAGAAGCATGTTTAGACCTGAAAAACCTTCTTCGGCATTGAAATTAGCACGTGTAATTACCACCTGTTATAGTGAGCTGCCGCCTTCAGTAAATTCAGCAGGCGGTTAGGTTTAACTTACCTTGATATATTATTTAATAAATATGTGCTGGGTTAGGGTAAATACCTTCGGTGTATTAAGGGGTACTCACGACTTGCGTGATGTTGGTTATTGGCAACACTGACTTTAGAATGATTAAGTGAATTTATAACGTATACGAATTTATGAGTATTATAACGAGCAGGTTCTTCAGTAGGGCACCTTAATTACCGTGCTAAAGAAGTTGCCTACGAATCGTTTTGCCATAGTCGCCCCCCCCCCCCCCCCCCCCCTCCTACTTTTCTTGTACCGATTGATTTTAGGTATAAAAATGTATAAGTTAGGTTGAACTGTTGCTGTGGATAGGCTACATCCTATTGCTGCGGCCATGTATCTGTAAAGTAAAAAAAAAAAAGGTGTGCAAAAAAAAAATGCATAAAAAAGTAATACGCTGTTTGGAAGCCATGGATGTTGACATGTGCGACCATGTTTGAATCAAAATAATGATTTTTCAAGTCGCTATAAAACAAGCATGGCGGTGTAAGTAATAGCATACGTTTGGGTATGAGAAGCTCGTTTGATTACTCGTCGTTAAATTTTGCGGAAAGTACTTCTGGTTATCCTACCACCACAGCATCATAATAGACATGTTTAGAACGCATTCTAACTAACACCCGCCTTTACCACCCATGAAAACACATTCCTATAAGTGAGGAAGAAAGTTGTCACTTTGACGTGAACGATGAACTGCCATAAATGGCAATAAAAATACAGATAAAAATTTCCCATGCTGCTAGGAGAACGACCAAACACCGGGTGAGATAAGGTGCGTTGCGAATAGGCGGAAGACGAGAGTGGAAGGGGTATATAGTTTTATTCGTGGAACTGTTCATGCAGAATTGATAGGTCTGGAACGTTACACGCTACTCAGTAAACGAAATGCCATTGAATGGCAGCGGCTCTTAAAAGCAGAAAGTAAATCTGCTTAGGCTTGTGAAAGCTATGAAGAATGGAACGATACAACTAGATTGTTCAGGTAGGTGTCATGATACGCGTTTCAATGTAGAATGCTACACAAGCCACACTAGCCCATATGGATGAGCTAATGAATATAAGACAAGTTCGTCACTCATCATCACATCGTCATCATCATCATCATCATCATCATTATCATCATTATACATCAATCATCAGTGTCAGTGTCATCATATTAGCCGGTTAGCTATTATCTGGCAGTATTGAAGGCGGATAGAATCAGAAATATTAAATTTGATAACTTTGCTGCCATTATAAATGCAACAATACGCATATAAACCAGCCAAGGAGTAGCACTTTCATTTAACCTTTTTATTGGCGTGCGTTAGGATTTAATGCGTAATAGTGCAGCCACCGATACTGAGAGGAGAGTTAATAAGTGATGTATGCCAGCAGAGTGTAGCCACACTACGGTTCACTCGGGCTGAAATTTCCCTTTGCTATCAACGTTGTAC